CCGCCCACCTTGGAGCTTGCTGTCGATGTTCTTGCCATAGGACTTGACGAACAGGTGCAGGGGCAGCGTCTCGTTGCCATCGTGGGACAGCTGGGGGGACACCCAGGGACATGCTGCACTCCCTACTCCCACCCAAGCTCCAGAGGGTCACCACCATGCCCACTGTGGTCTCCGTGTCCCGTCATGGCCGAGGGAGGGCAGGGGGAGGCTAGACCCTCAGACAGCCCCCAATCACTTTGGTTCCAGAGGACAGGAGGCACCCTGGGGCCATGCCTGCCTGGCCGCAGCCCTGGGTCCCTCTGCAGGGCGGGGCTCACCCAGCCTCCCCTCTGCCCAGCCCGGGGCTCACCCAGCCTCCCCTCTGCCCAGCCCTCAGGCTCTGCAGGCAACTGGGGCCCAGTAGCCTGGCCGCCCCCTGGAGGTTGTACCTTCGGAGTCCGAAAGACGAAGGTCTCTGGTTCCTGTGTGATCACAGTCTCCTCAAACTTGATCAGGTCACTGCCCACCTGCAGGGAGGGGCTCTGCAAGGCCGGCCAGTCAGGACACCTGAGGGGCCAGACCCCCCCCACCCTCCCGAGCCCACACCCTGGGCCAGCCTGGGCACTGCCATCCCACCGACCACCCCCAGGAACAGCGCCCTCCACAGTCCGCACCTGAGCATATCACCCTGCTGCCTCCTCGCTAAACGGCACCCCATTGCCCAGCCCCACAACACCCCAAACTCGCCCGTGTGCTCCAGGCCTGTCGGAATGCCCCACACGCCCAGACCTTTCTGCCTCCTGTCCCCAATACCGCACACACTGAGCCCTGGGCCAGGATGGCCAATGTGGGGCCCAGGCATCCCAACTCCATGGTTGCAGAATGCAGCTCTGAACAAGGCCCACGGACACTGCCACCCAGCAGGCCCTGCAGGGCCCAGGCCTGCAGCCCCTGTCCCCAGGGTGGCACCCCCCGCCCCCACTTCTACTGTGTCCAGCTGCATGGTCAGCCTCTGTCCCCAGGGCGGCACCCACAAGCCCCCCACCTTCACTGTGTCCAGGTTCTTGCCCTGGAAGGTCACTTCCGTCTCATGGTTCATGGGGATGACCAGTGGGCTGGGGTTCAGAAACTGGGGGCAGCTGTCCTCCTGCAGAGGGGCAGGCTGGTCAGGGTCCGCCAGGCCGTGGCCGAGCAGCCCCACTCCCTCGCGGCCCCACGGCCCTCACCATGTGGGCTGGGACAATGCCGTCCTCGGGGTTGGGCGAGGCCTCCCGACACTCGTGGTAGCGCAGGTCCCACTGGCAGGTCCAGCGGTTGCTGGCACAGGAGATGCACCTGGGGGAGGGGGGCGCCGTGAGGGGTGCTGGGACAATAGCCAGGGCGGCAGGGAGGTGCTTGGGAAGCAGGCAGGTGCGACACTCACGGCAGGTTCTCGGCCAGGCTCATGGCCTTCCGGCAGTCGTAGAAGGGGTACAGGTGGGAGGTGAGAAAGACACTGCTTTGTTTGAAGAGGAGCTGGATGTTCATAGCCACGTGGTCTAGACAGCAGATGGGGACAGTGTCAGGCGCGGGCCACAGAGTACGAGGCTGGCATGCATGGGTGTGGGACAGGAAGCCTCAGTCCCTGTCCCATCACGGCTTCCGACAGGCTATCGAGCACAGAACCAGGGGCTGACACGGAGCCCTGGGCTGCGGGGGGGGCCCGACCTGCCGCCCACTATCTGATCTCGGCTCAGCTGTCCGCCCCTGAGGCTCTGCGCGCTGTCCTTGCAGGGTCCTGTGGTGTCTGGGGCAGAGAACCTGCCAGGTCCCTGCACGTGACTGCGTGGCTCCCGCCTGCACCAGCAGCTGCCCTCCACTGGCCCACACTGGGGGCCCCACCTGTCTCAAGCTGGACAGGGTGGGGAGGGTGAAGGGGCTTCTGCACAGATGCTGGAGCCCAGGGCCTGGCACGCAGGTGGTGCCGAGTAAAGGTGACAAAGGAGCAGGATGAAAGGGATCAGAAAAGTCACCCTCGCCGATGACCTTGGGGTGGGGGTCAGTGCAAATTGCTCTGCCCACGCAGCTTAGGGCACCCAGAAGTGTAACTGCCCGTGGACCTCTGCCCAGCTTCATCCTGGCAGGTCCTGTCTGCACCCTCCCCGTTCCTCAGCACGCGCCCCGGAACTGGGTCACGGGCGAGGCTCAGCGGGCGGGCGCAGTGACCCCACCACACCGAGGGAGAAGGGACGAGGGCCAGCCGGTGGCTGGAGGGTCGGGCCTCACCCTGGCCGGGCGGCGTGCTGGGGATGCTGCTTGGGGAGTCACAGATGACAGTGTCCCCTTCCACACGGGCCGCGTGGGGCGGAGAGTCACCGAACAGGCACAGCAGCCCGTCCTCCTTGCCGAGGGCTGGGAGGGGACTGACCGTCAGCTGCACCTAGGGAAGGCCATGTGGGACTCATGCTGGGACCCGCTGCCCAGCCCTGGGGGCTGTCAGCGAGGACATCTCCACCAGGGCGCCTGTGCTGAGGCTCATGCTCCCCCCGGAGAACCTGACACCCACTGTACCCGAAGCAGGCCCTATGTGGTCACCCCTGCACCCGAAACAGGCCTGTCCTGGATCCACAGGGGCCCCACAGGTCACAGGGGCTGGGGGACCCCACAAAGCACAGACTCCCCATCCTTAGGCTCAGCACACAGAGCCCAGGCCGGGAGTGAGACACTAAGGGTCTCTGGCCCGTCCCCACAGCTCAGGCAGCAGCGGCCCTGCCTCGCCCGCATTCAGCCACCCCCATCACGCACCTCTCCCTTGGCCCGACGGCTCATGTTCTGCGGCTGGGCCCCCGTGACGGCCACACAGGACTCCTCACGGCTCCACAGCCAGTGGCCGCTCTCCTCGGCCCGTGGGCACTCGGCCCTCCTGGTGCATCTGCAGGGGCAGGGGACAGCCTCAGTCCTCGTACCGGTCGGCCCTAGGGCAGGGCTGTGCCCCCCAGGGCCCCAGGGTGGGCGGCGGCCCCCAGACCCCGGCGCTCACCGTCCCTCGACGACACACCAGCCGCAGTAGGGGTCCTGGGAGCGAAGGCACTGTGCACAGGCCACGTAGCTCAGGCACTCCTGCACGGGAAGCCGGAACACCTGGGGCAGCAGGGCAGGGAGCGGGGCTGCGGCCACCGGAGGCAACGGGCCAGCAGGCACGAGGGCCTCCCTTGGACCCCAGACTTGACCCCACCTGTATCTCTGAGCCTTAAAAGCCTCACACACCAACTCAAGGCTCGCCAGCAAGGGCTCCGGGAAGTGGCTGTGTGCCAGGCTCCATGTGGTCCTGGCCCAGTGGCCCAGTGGTTGCCCCTGCCCAGGACCTGATGGTGCGAGGTCCCAGGAAACCGTAGTGTCCTGTATGGCGCCTCCCTGTGCCGGCCCAGGCCCTCTGATCCCCTCCCTATGAGAGGCCACTGGTTGTCCCAGGTGCTCCCAAAGCTGGCTTGAGGGGCCCTTACACCAGCCCCGCTATGGAGCGGGACGGGGGGCGGGGCTGGCCTGTGCCCTCTCTGAGCTCACAGAGGCTGCCCAGGGCCTCTTGCTGCCATCTGGCCACGGGGGAGGCCCACTCAGAGCACCGACCCAGCCCTCCCCTCAGGACAGGCAGGAGCAGCGCTGCAGACCCAGGACAGAGATGCTGCCAGCACCCTTCCCCATGCTCCCTGGTGCTACTCGGCTCCGCGCCAACGGCCCAGCCCCGAGGCCCCTCCCTGAGGCCTACCTTGTGGTGGGTCATGGCGTACAGACTGGCCAGGTCTGCAGACAGCACTAGGTCCTGCTTGACCCTCTTGTTGCGCTCCACGAGGATGGAGCCGTACTCCGCGGAGCTGCCGTCTGGGGCCAGGTACACCTTCGGGCACGCGGGCAGGTGCGTGAGGGTGCGTGGGGTGGGGCTGGCGTTCTCACGCCGATGGCCCCTGCAGGACGGGGCCCCTCCAGCCCCAGCCCTGCCCCAGGCCTCACCTTGAGGACCTGGCCATCCGAGGTACCCAGGAAGGCGATGGTGTGGCTGTTTTCAGTGGTCACCGTCACAGCGGTCAAGTTCAGGCCTCCGCGCTGCAGCACGGCATTGGCTGTGAGTCCCTCGCGGCTGCCCAATGGGTAGGGCAGGTGCTCCGAGCCACACAGGAAGCTCTCACTGGCGCCCTGTGGACCGCGGCGTCAACAGTGGGCGTAGACACCCGCAAGCTGCTGCAGAGGCCTCTCTGCACTAAGGCCCCCGGCACTCTGTGGCCCCACGCACGTCCCCAAGAACTAGGGCCACACAGGCAGGGACCTGCTCGCTGGCAGTTGCAAGTGAATGAGGTGGCACCCACGTGTGTGCAAAGGCTCACGCTGACCCAACTGAACACACTGCACACGTGTGCCCTCTCACGGGCCCTCACACGCAGGCGGGGACTGGGCCACACCAGCCAGCAGCAGCCGCTCACAGACCCACGCCTATGGGGGGAAGCCTGTTAAGGCCACGTACCAGCAAGTGGCCGCCACACTGGATCTCGCCATGGAAGGGCTTGTAGAAGATGTCGCGGCCCGCCTCCCGCGTGTCCGTGTAGCAAGCGTCGCGGATGGCCTGCATCTTGGCGTGGACCTCCTCGAGGGGGAACAGACAGAGGCCTGCCCGAGGCCCCCCACCTCTCCGGACGTCCCTGCTGAAGACGGCGTAGAGCACCCTCCCGGCGCCGGAGGTGGCCACGGAGGCCGCCAGGCAGGTGCTGAAGGCGGTGGCCGGGGCGTCGCCGCGGTCGAGGCACTGCAGGTCCATCTCCAGGTAGGAGTAGTAGTAGGGGTCCTGCTTGCACATGCGCGCCAGCAGCGTGCGGTTCTGGGGCGGGTGCTTGTCCTGCTGGTTGAAAAGGAAGAAGACGTAGCGGCTGTCCTCAAAGGCGGCCACAAACTGCTGTGTGTTGGTGGACAGGTAGCCGGCCTTGTAGGTGGCGTGGTCCGTGTAGGCCTCGAAGGCCTCCCTGCCGTGGGCCCGGTCCAGCAGGCGGGTGCTCACGATGACGCCGTTGTCGTGGGGCCCGTTGCCTTTGCCCACAAACAGCACGCGCTCGCCGTTGGAGTCCGTGGCGCTCACCAGCCCCACCGTGGCCACACTCTCGTCGTTGCTGGCCACGAAGGACTTCTCGCCGCTGCCGTCCTCGTAGAAGAGGCGTGTGGAGATGTTGGCCAGGGAGCGCAGGGCGCAGATGCCCTTGAAGAGGCTGCCGCACTCGACGAGGCGCGCCCCCGGCGGGTCCAGCAGCAGCAGCTGGTTGACGTTGTTGGTCAGCACGGCCTCGTGGCACTGGCTGGCCTCGATGGGCGGGGTGCACTTCTTGTGGTCCAGCGCCGGCCCAGTGGCCGCCTGCTGTTCCAGCCGCAGGTCGGCACTCAGCTGGTAGAGCGCGTTCACCGCCCCCAGGTACACCACGCCCGACGCGTTATCCACCACCAGGTGGTTGAGCTCCGTCTCGCTGCGGAAGGACTCCAGCTTTCCCGGCCACAGGCCCGCGCCCGTGCCCGCGCCCACCAGGCCCAGCAGGGTCAGGGCCCAGAGCTGCCGTGCCATCACCCCTGGCACCCTGCAGGAGGAGAGAAGGGTCAGGAGAGCCCCAGCCTGGAGGACCCGCCCACACAAGAAGCCCCCCAGGAAGGTCTCGCTAGATCCTCTTTCGAGACCCTGCCCAGATGACCAGAGCACAGGCCGGGGAGGGTCATGGCTGCCCCACGGGCCCTGAGCGCCCAGTCTCTCCCCGCCTTCCCATGTGTTCGGCCAGACACAGCCACTCACATCTCCAAGGCCACTGACCAGCCTTTCTCAAGAAGTTCACCTTGGAGTCTCACCCATGACCAGGGCCAGGCCGCCACAGCTGATGCCACAGGCACGAGTGTGACTGCGCCCTGGCCCCCACCTCCAGGTTTTCACGGCACCCACAGGCTCAGCTCCAAAGCCACAGAGCACCTCCTCCAGGAAGTCTCCCAGACACTCCTGCACATGCCCACCCCACGCCCATGACCCCGAGAGCTCCAGGTGATCGGAGGGGCACTGTGCCCAGAGGATGAATCCCATCACAGGCCCAGGCTGACCAATAGGCCCCAGACGTGCAAACAAGCGGACCACACGCCTGTCCCACACGTGACTCAACACGCGGTGCGACCTGACGGGAAACAGGGAGCCAGAGTTGCAGCTGAAAGGGAGCTGGGCCAACCGCATGGGTCGGCGAAGGTGCGTAGTTTCTTCTATCTGCCCAGCAGAACCGCCGGGCTGCAGCCGGCCCTGCCTCCCGCCCCGGGCCCCTCCCTGTGGCGAGCCAGTGAGGACGCACTGTGAGCAGCCCGAGGCTACCAGGTCTGCGAGGGGGAACTCTGGCGTCTGCGTGCAGCCGTCTCTCTCAGCATGTGGTCCTGTGCGTGCTCAGGGCCACACGCGTGTCGACATGTATGAGGGATGCGTTGCTAAGGCCTGTGCTGGGCCCGCGACCCCACACTGGAGGAGGACCCAGAACGTGAACGTCCCCCCTCCCCAGCTCAACCAGGGCCATTTGGCCTCGAGGCCTCTTGCACCTTGGGGTAGTCCCCTACCCTCTCACCTGTGGGACCCCACTCTGTCCTGTCGGAACCCCCCACACCAACCCCCACTGCCGGCCCCACAGGCTACCCTCTCCCAGTGTGGGCATGAGCCCCCACCCCTGAACTGGCTACAGCCTTCCCTGAAGGTGCCTGTGCCTGGCATGATGTCCAAGGCAACCTGGCCCATGCCACAAGCCGAGTAGGGCTAGACCCTGATGGATGGCAGAGGGTAACAAGGGAACCGGGCCCTGGCCTCCCAGGCTCCCAGCACGGGCCAGCCTGCACATCCAGACTGCCTGGTACACCCTTCGCGGTCACCTCATACGTCACCTCCCTGGATTCGCTCTTATTCCCTCGAGAAGGTTACTTTTCCAGTCCCCATAGATGCCCCCTGCCCTGCGTCCCTCTCCTCTGGGAAAGCAGAAAGGGGTCTGCCCTGGTCCACAGCCAGGGCAGATGCTTCTCCGGGGCTCTGGCTTTGGGCAAAGCTGGGTCCACTGTGACGGGCTGGCTTCTCCTCAGGGACCCTTGGTTCTCACATCAAGGCAGCTTCCTTCTTTTTTGGGCCACTAGGAAGCCCCCTCAGCTGGGCAGCTCCAGCCTCTGCACAGAACCCCCAGCCTGCGCTGGAGGGGCTGGCTGGAGGGTGTCCAGGAGGGGCAGCGGCAGGGACCTGGGAAGGAGCCCCTTGCTGTCTGGGGGCAGAAAGCTGGGCAGTGCCAGGGGGAGGGGCAGGCGGACCAAGGGATGCATGCTGGAGGAGCCAGGGTGACCCCAGGCCTCGCCAAGATGCGAGTGCCCAGGCTGGGGAGAAGATGGCCAGGCGGGAAGGTTTCACAAGCCCCTCAGGACTGTGGGGCAAGATGGGCAGTCCTCCCGGGAGGGGGTCCCTACCATCACAGACTCCTCCTGGGTGCCTGTCTAGGGGAAAGGACGACGCAGCTGGAGAGACCCCCAGACGCGAGCTGGATGTGCTGGGGCAGAGAAGGGAAGGGACAGCACGCAGCCCCTCCCCGGCCCCCCGC